TAGGAGCAATTAAGGAAATCGATCTTTGATTTTCTTCTTGTAGAATCCAAGAAAATACCTTGGCAATGGATGGTAAGGGTCCATTAACAAAATCTATGCACGAATACCTCCACAGGTGCATTGCTTACTCTCTTTGATTGTCATCTAGCATCTTGCGAACACCTCCACAGGTGCATTGCAAACAAGAACAACTGTTTGACAGAAACCAATTCATCCATATGATTTTAAGCTGAGTGTAATAAGTGCTAACAGACATCGAACCTTGGGCTAACTCGATGAGTTTATTCTTGAGATGAATAATGCGAGGCCTATTTGACTGTTAAAATCTGTCTTCAAGATCTTTCCATATTGCAACAGAAGTAGAATGACAAAGAAGACTTGCTGCAATTTCTTTGGAAACAGAATTCAAGATCCATGAACTCACAAGATTATTGGCTCTTGTCCAAGCACTATTGATACCATATCAAAGATAAGAAGTGTGAAGAATCTTTTTTATTATCAAACTTTCTAAAGTTTACAAAGAATAACAAGGAAACTTTAAGTATAACAGGCAATAAAGTATCCAGAGTACAGAGTTGGCTATGCATTGAGTTAAAAGTTATGGATGATCTTCAAACTTAGAAAGTAGTCCCTCTATCAGAAGGAAAGCAACCGATAGACTGTAAGTGGGTTTGTAAGAATAAAGTACAAGGCTGATGACACAGTAGATAGGTATAAGACTTGGTTAGTAGCAAAAGGTTTTACTCAAATTGAAGGTGTTGATTACACTGATACTTTTTCACTGGTTGCTAAGATGAATTCCTTTAAAATTTTGCTTGCTTTAGCTACTACAAATAAATGACATCTTCTACAATTATATGTTAATAATGTATTTTTGAATTGAAAACTTGATGAAGATGTATATATGAAATTGTCACTTGGATATAGCTTAGATGGTTCAAGAAACATGGTGTGCAAGTTAAATAAATCCATTTATGGTTTAAAACAAGCATCTAGGCAGTGGTTTCATGCATTTTCTCAGGAAATTATCAAGTTTGGTTTCTTACAATCTCCATCAGAACATTCTCTTTTTACCAAAGGCTCTAGGGATAGTTTTGTAGCACTTCTTGTTTATGTAGATGACATAGTTCTTGCAGGAAAGAACTTGGAGCTATTAAATGAGATCCAGGCTTTTCTTCAGCAACATTTTATGCTAAAAATCCTAGGTCCTTTGAAATATTTTCTTGGTTTTGAGACTGCTCGAAATTCTACTGGGATCTCTGTCATCAAGACATTATGCATTACAACTTTTCGAAGACATTGATACTCATGGTATGAAACCTGCTGATCAATCAATTATTCCCTCATAAATTGAGTATTCATGAAGGTGAGTTATTGTCTGATCCTCAACTATATCGAAGGTTGGTTGGTAGGTTATTATATCTAACCCATACGAGACCTGACATCACATATGCAGTCCATTTATTAAGTCATTTGGTTTAGTTTCTTTGACAACCACATCTTGCAGCTGTTTATCGATCATTTACTATCCTACATTAAGAAAGGTCCAAGTCTTGATCTTTTCTTCTCAGTAAGTAACAATTTGCAGCTAAGCATGGATGCTGATTACAATTCATGTCATGATACTCGTCGATCCACCACTGGATATTGCACATATATAGGTGATTGTCTCATTTCATGAAAATCTAAAAAGCAGCACACAATGTGTAGATCATCATGTGAAGCAGAATATCGACGAATGGCTTCAGCTACTTGTGAGCTAGTATGGATTGCAGCTCTTATTTCTTCTTTTTAAGTTCATGCCTCGAATGCTTTCCTTTTTTGTGACAATCAATCAATCATCTATCTTGCTTCAAATCAAGTTTTTCATGAATAGAACAAGCACGTTAAAGTTGATTGTCACTTCGTTCGAGACAAGATCACTACTGGTTTTATCAAACTATTTCATGTCTGATCTACAAATCCGTTACAAGACATTTTCACCAAAGCTCTTTCTTCACTAGTTTTTTTTTAAAAAAAAATCATGGTCAAGATGGGACTTCTCAACATTCATCAGTCTTCATCTTGAGGGGGAATGTTACAACTAATTTTTTAGTAGGTTAATTCAAGTTAGTTAGGGTTAGGGTTCAATATCAATTTATATATATAGGTAAGTTGTGTACTTAAAGTTTCATTATTATTCTTTGTAAACTTTAGCAAGTTTGATAATAAAGAAGTATTTTTCACAAAGATAAGAAGTCTAAAGAACACTTCTTTATTACCAGACTTGGTAAAGTTTACAAAGAATAATATTGAAACTTTAAGTATACAACTTCCCTACATATATATATAAATTGATGAACCCTAACTCTCTCTAACACTTGAATCAACCTACTAAAATATTAGTTGTAACACTATTTCTTTAACATTTGAAACAATGGCACTAATATCATATCTATTAATTGTCAGGGCGTCACCTTCAACAATGGTGTTACGAAATCCTCTTTTTTTCTTCTTCTTATTTAGACCATTACGTCTTTTAGCAATATTTTGTATGCTTCAATTGCTTACTCAAATGTTAAAACAGGTTTTGCTTCAAATATAGTGTGTTTTATTTGTTTATCTTGCAATTCGGTATTTGGTTAGCTGTAAATTTACGATGCATACCAATTTACCTAGAACACAATCTTAAACATCACATAACCAAAATCTATCTAACACTCAAAATAACATAAGATTACATGCCACCATCACAAGAGTTTTAAAATTAGAGAAATTTACAATGAATGAGTTGAGAATTGACTCGTGAATCTTAAATACAATCATGATCAATCTAAAAAATCGGACTTCTCCAAAAGTAAATAACCAAATGGAATGAGCTTCGAGAAACTTAATAAATAACATAGACAAAAATGAAAGTAAACATAACAAGATATCAAAGTATATCAATTTTGTGTTAGTGAAAGCAATAGAAATGATGTCATAGCAAAACATTTCATATGGATTTTCACATGCAAACATTTTCAAGGTATTTAGAGATGTGTTATTGAATTTAGCCCGATAGTTGATTAGTAGCTTATGGATACTTTAATCTTACTTCCTTTTCAAGTATCAAAATGATACAAAATCAATATGCATCTTTCCGCCTCACTGAGATCGAAGTCCAAATACACAATATATCTATGCCACTCCAAAAAAAAGGTCTTAAATTAGCCCCTACACAATTACTCTATGTCCTATAACATGTCAATTGTACCCGAAAATCACTAATAACCAAGGCTTGTTTTAACATTGTATCAATTATAGGAAATTATCATTTATATTAACAAATAGCACATAGCTAACAAACTCTAATCTCGATTATCATATCACATCATGACAACTTAACATAATATCATATCAAAACAAAGACGTCATGCTCAAACATAATCAAACATTAGAATAGACATCGAATCACATTATAACATACCTTAGCACTTCAATTGCTTGGTTTTCAACTGAATTCACAAATTAAGCAATCAAGTTGAGGTTTGATTCTAGTTGGGTGTAACTTGTTATGAATTGTGTTTCATCAGTCTCATTTTATTTGATAATTAATGGCAAGCTTTCAGGTTTTTTCAGGTTTTTATTTGATATTCAAGTTGAGGATTAGAGAAGAACAAGAGCCTGACTTTTACCTAGGATTGACTCTTATAGTTGGTAAGAACAAAGTGAATACTTTCGGTTTCCTAAGGGATAGAGTGAACATAGGGTAAAAAGGTTAGACCAAAAATCATTGGTGGTATGGTAACAGAGATAGACTCAAGATGGACAAGTGAGGATACTTATTCCTTTTTAAAATTTTCAAATTCTCATATATTTTAGAATTACGCATAACGTTAATATCCTTATTTGCTGCAAAGTATATTCTTTGGATGAAATTTAATTATCGAATATGTAAATATCAAAAACTAGTTTGGTGTAAGGGGCTGACTAGAATAGCATATGAGAACAATCGTCTCTTGAAAATTTCAATTTCTTATATATTTTAGATACATATTTTGTATTTTCTATTAATAATATATTTTTACCCCTAAAATTTTATAAGTACACCCCCTAACATAAAATTATTCGTCCGTTACTATTTAGCATATTGGTGTATGTGGGATGGATCCAATGAAAAATTAGTTTAGCCTAATGTTCTAGATGATAAAGATAAAATATATCAGCATGGTTAATTTAATCAATCAGTTTCAAGATTCTCACCTAATATTTATTCCTAAATGATCATTGGCTAAACCTACGTGCCAATATTATAAAAGAAGAAGAAGGGTAAAGTACAAAAATGGTCCCCAACCATAGGACACTACTTTGTTGAGTTCCACAACTATTAAAAATTATAAAATGATCATTCGATTATAGGGCGTTGCTTTGTTTAGTCCCTCTACTATTCAAAGTTACAAAATGATCACTCAACTATTAGTTATGTTCCAAACTCAGGCGCCTTTTTTGTTAAAAAAATTGATGGCAGCTGAGCTAGATGTTAATATGTTGTCTGAGATATAATAGTTTTTTGAGATTCTAAGATCATATTTTATCATATCTCAAATAGCATATTAACAACCAACTCATACTGTTGTAACGAGAAAGTATAAGTTTGGAACATAATGAATAGTCGAGATGTAACTTTTAATAGTCAGGGAACTCAACAATGTAACATCCTATAATCGAAATACTATTTTGTAACTTTTGATAGTTAGAGGACTCAACAAAGTAGCACCCTATAGTCACGGGACCATTTGTGTACTTTTCCCAAAAAATTAATATTAAAAGATGTTAGGTAGTGCGGACAGTGGAATCTGTTAAACCTGAAATCAATTCATAATTCAAGAAATTAAAGTCAACAGAAACCAACTTGAAATTCAAAGGAGAGGGAAAAAAATACCCAACAAGTTATAGTGCAAATTGAGTCAACATGTATGAATTTAACCTGCTAGCTATAAAGAATGGTGATAGAAGCCGAGTAAATGATAGGGTCAATCTTCTAGTTCCTATTATTGTTATCTCTAACTCACGTATCCCATTGAGCTCTAGTGGAAATGGCGGAGGTAGCTGTGAACTTAGTGCTCGAGAAGTTGATTTTTTCTCAAGGAAGAGATGCAACTGGTGAGAGATTTTCATGCAGAAGTTGTAGACATGAAGCTTGAGCTAGACTTCATTTCCTCTTTCCTAAGAGATGCAGATGCTTGGGCGGCCACTGAAGAAAGCAATGAAAGTGTGAAGACATGGGTTAAACACATAAGGGAAGTAGCTTATAGCATAGAGGATGTCATGGATGAATACATGCTTTATGTGGCAAAACACCGTGATCGACATGGCTTCATGACTTTTCTGAAAAAAATAGCTGGTTATGTCTGGAGTTTAAAGAGCAACCGTCAGATGGTGTCAAAGATACAAGAACTCAATCGATCAGTTCATGAAATTGGAAACAAGAGAAGAAGACTTGACATCAGTTTCAATGACCGACGTGGATCAAGCATAGGACATGTAGACCCTCGAGCCGGCCTCCATTTTGTTGATACTGATGCACTTGTCGGAATCGAAGCTTCAAGAGACGAGCTTGTCGGAAGATTGAATGAGGGGGAATCCATGCGCACAGTGATTTCACTTGTGGGTATGGGAGGGCTTGGAAAGACTACTCTTGCTAAGAAGGTATATGATGACATTAAAGACCATTTTGATTGTCATGCTTGGGTCACAGTTTCACAATCAAACAACATGGTGGAGCGGCTTAGAAGCATGATCAGACGATTCCATGAAGCAAAGAAAGACCTTCCTTCCAACGGAATTAACAATGTAATGGACGTCGAGGAACTGATCAGCAAATCCAGAGAATATTTGCAATACAAGAGGTATGTTGTTGTATTTGATGACGTTTGGCAGGAAGAATTTTGGCGAGTAATTCAATCTGCTTTGCCTGAAAATAACAATGGCTGTAGAATTATAATCACCACAAGAAGCCTCAGTGTTGCAGAATTTTGCAAGCAATCTTGCCTTGTTCATGTTCATAATTTGCAACATTTATCTCTAGAAATGGCCCAAGAGCTACTATGCAGAACAGCCTTCCGATTCGATCAAATAAGGAATGTCCTGAAAATTTAAAGAGTTTATCTTTGGACATTGCCAGAAAGTGTGATGGATTGCCACTCGCAATTGTCACCATAGGAGGGCTTCTTTCAACAAAGGGCAAAGATGTATTTGAGTGGACAAGGTTGTGCAATGACCTCAGTAAACAACTGAAGAGCAATCCACATCTTGCACATGTCAGAACAATTCTATCCTTCAGCTATCACGATTTGCCCCATTACCTGAAATCTTGTTTCTTATATATGGCCGTGTTCCCGCGTAGTTATCACATTCGAGTCAATAAACTGATTCGATTATGGATTGCAGAGGGTCTTGTAAAGGAGAATCAAGAAATGACATTGGAAGAAACTGCTAAAGCAAACTTAACTAGGCTAATTAACAGAAGCTTAGTTCAAGTTGAATGGAGCGACTCCACTGGAAGAGCTAGATCATGTCGAGTTCATGATTTGATCCACGAAGTTGTTCTTTCCAAATTAGAAGAACTAAATTTGATTCAATCCTCACAAGCAAGTTCCAACGGTGCTGCTCGATATCTCTGGATCGACAATAACAGAGCACATGATTTGTCAAGGAGAAATGGTGACTTTCGAACTCATTCTATTATCTTTTCCAATTTACAAGAGTTGCATGATCCTGTCTTTGAGAGACTGTCCTTAAACTTCAAACTTTTGAGAGAAATAGATTTTGAAAACGCCCCATTCGAGTACCTCCCCGAGGAGATAGGGAATTTGTGGCATTTGAGATATCTAAGCTTAAGACATTCAAAAATAAAGATGCTTCCCAAGTCCATAGGAAAATTGCATAACCTCTTGACTTTGGATTTGAAAGGTTCTTTCGTGGTTGAGATCCCAGATGAGATAAGATATCTGTGTAAGTTGCAATATTTTCGAGCTTACACAGTCGATCTTGTTAATCATTACACTATAGATTCTGACCAAGGCGTAAAGATCAATGACAGTGTCTTCGGGAGCTTAGAGTCATTAGAAAAGCTTTATTATGTCGACTTCGAATCGCAAAATGGTGAGCATTTTGGTAGAGAATTGAGAAGTTAAAGCGGTTGAGGAAATTGGGAATCACTAAACTGAAATCAGATTGCGGGGAAGCTTTGTGTGGTGCTATAAAGCAGATGCCCCACCTTTATGCACTGCGTATTTCGGCAGTGAAAGAAAACGAGGTTCTTGAACTGGAATCAATGTCTCCTCCTCCATCCCTTCATCGTCTTCGCTTGCATGGACAACTAATGACGCTGCCCGGTTGGATTGCTGAACTGGAGAACCTAGTCAAAATTAGTTTACACTGGTCTAGCATATCAAATGATTCGCTTAAAATCCTTGGAGATTTGCCAAAGCTGTTAGAGTTCTGGCTTTATGAAGGTTACAATGGAGTTGAATTGCACTTGGAACAAGGAAAGTTCAAAAAACTAAAACACCTTGCACTTCGTCGTTTGTACAAGTTGGAGAAAGTGGTAATAGATGGAGGGTCTTTACCTTGCTTGGAGACACTTGAAATAGGGACTAGTCCACTGATGAAGGAGGTTCCCACCGGCATTGGCAGCTTAGAATCCTTAAAAATCTAGGATTTTACAATCTGCCAAAGGAATTTGCCAAAAATATACTGCCAAGTGACGGCCTGGATTACTGGAAAGTGAAGGAAATTCCAAATGTTTGCTTTCACTATAAAACCCGAGGACTACTGAGTCGTGATTCTCATGAAACCTATAAACTGGGTGATTTTCGCTTGCGTCAGTACTTGTATCAAACTTAATCTTCTTACTCTTTTATCATCATTGTTTTTTCAATTGTAATTGGCATTTGTTATCATTGACTGTTATTAGAGAGATGACTAGACACACTAAATTAATGAGTAATATCTTATTTGATAGTTCACTGTAATTAAATTATAATTATAATTTTGAGATTTTTCTTACGATAAAAAAAGAAAAAATATATTAAGCAAATTTTTTTATTTTATTTTTACCAAAAACCACTCACTGCTGCACTGATTCCAGCCCATCCCCCACTGGTCATTGTGCCACCAACTCAGCAGCAAAGCCTGCACACGCTACGACCAAACCCAAACACCAACCAAATCAGCTTTTATTTTTTTTCACATATGTAAAAGGGGTTATAAAAACCCCAATAAAAAAATGTAAGGGGTCCTCTGCTAAAAAAAATAGAGAGCATCAAACAAAAAAACATTTTTCGGTTCTTTTATATTCTTTAAAGCAAATATTGCATAAGAAAAAAACGAAAAAGAAGAAAGGAGGAATATACCTCTCGATCGAATCTCTCACCTACGATAGGAACCCCTACTGTCCAATCCAAACTGTGAGAAGGTGTAAGGTATCCCTAGAAACAACATATTAAAAAACCAGGTCGATCTGACGGTAAACGGAGGAGGTCGAAGCTTCAAAAGTTGAAAGGTCGCCGGCCATTTTCACGACGATAGACTCCAAATCTCACAAAACGGTGGCCCGATCTACAACCACCATGACGAAACGAATGAACCTCGAAAGTTTAGTGGCCAACGGCGACCAGCGCGGTGGCCGGCGACGGCACTCGTCGTAGTTTCTGGAGAAGTGAAGAGAGAGTGAAGAAGATAAAACAAAACAAAAAAACAGAAAGGGGTATTTATAAACGAATAAACACGATGTCGTTTTGGCGTTTTCCCGATCCCCCATTAAACGACGTAGTTTGGCATCAAATGGTGCGTTTAGGGCTTCTAAGGCCAAATCACGCGCTCTGTCACTCCATTTTTCTCCCGTGTTCATTTTAGTCCCCAATTTTAGCTTATTTCACTATTTTTAATATTTTGTCCTTATTATGAGATTTTACCGTTTTAATGTTCTTATATTGACATTTTGGCTTATTTTTTTACAAGTCCCCCTATGTTTGTCGTGTTTTCGCATTTTGGTCACTATACCTTCCTTTTCTAATTTATTGCATTTTTATCATTCTGATTTATTTATTTTATTTTATCAATGTTTTATTTTTCCATTTACTCAAAAATTGTTACTTATTTTTTTTGTTTTACTTTAGTCACTTGATTTTTTCTGTTTTATTATTTATTCATGAATTTGTGTTGTATTTTTAATTTATGCATTTTAGTCTATTTATTTCTGATTTGACTAATGTCCTTTCAATTTACGCATTTTGGTCACTTCTTATTTATGATTTGGTCTACTATTTTTTTATTTATTATATTTTGGTCCCTTATTTTTTAGCAATTTAATTTAAGTCCTTTAATGATTGCACTCTAGTTTCTATTTATTTTATTTTAGTCCCATGAATATATATATATATATGTTTATCATGACTTATTTTGCTATCTTGCATTTTGGTCCTTATGTTATTTATGATTTTATTTTATTTAAGCACTTATATTTGTGTGATACTTATTTTTGGGTCTTTGCTTTTTATAGTGTTTATATTTTTGCCATTCTTGTTTAAAATTTCATCATCTAGCATGATTAATATAATTTGGATTAATTGGATTTTTTTATTTGGTCAAATCAAATTATTTAATCTCAATTCTTGGTAGAGATTATTATATTCTTTTTATTTCAGTTGAAAAGAGAAATATTCGTCCTAAATTATTTTAGGGATTATTCTCTTAGTTTGGAAATACTTGAATATTTTATATTTCTCCTTAGAATTTCCTGTTAAATGAAATTATGTGATTGAATTTGAAACATGAGGATCATAACTTAAATTATATTCAAATTCTTAGATTTCCACTATTAGAGACAATTTATAATCGATGGGGTACCATTTTGGGTGTTATGGGGGTGTTATCATTCCCCACGCGTAATCGACCCCCAAACCTTTTTATTTTATTAAAAAAATGAATTTCTTGTTACATGTAGACTTGTTTATCTTTTAAAATGATGTTTTCTTAAAAACTCTTTTAAAAGAAAATTTTTAGGTATTCGACCTACCTAACTCAAAAGGTCGATGGCGACTCCAAAAAATTTCTTCGCAAAATCAAATTTTACGTAAATAAGTTGAGACACATCGGTACAATTTTTTCCCTGCCCAGGCGAAAAACGGTGTCGACAGCTTGGCGATTCCGCTGGGGACTTAGTGGATCAAGCCCTAAATCAATCATATATTGTCTCTATAGTTGGAAATTGAGAATCCAGTTTTATTTAATTCACGATTCTTTTGATTTCTTTCAATTCTTTATTATTATTGTTTTATTATTTTATTTTATTTTGTATCCTTGTATACTAATGCTTGTATTTGATTGATTTTGAGATATTAAAATTTTAGATTCACTTTAGTTCGATTTTTTTTGTGGTCGTTTCTCAATGGTTTAAGAATTTCTCATCACACAACACGTGCATTGCATAAATATAAGCTTTATACTCGAGCTCTTTCCCCTTTAAGTGGGAGTGAAAGCGACGTCTTCGTGAGAATTACTTTGGAATCAATTTCTTTGTTGCGTTTACTTTTTGCATTAACATCTATACATCGTACATTGCATGATATACATTGCATCTCAACCTGCATTAATCACTGATCCTGGGAGTAACTCGTAAAATCTTTTAAGGTAAATTGAAGTCACCCCTTCGTACTTAGAAAATAATTAAGAGCTAAGGACGTGATATTATTGCCGTCTAAAGTTCGAGGAACATCATTGAGATCTATAGGGCACCAAAGAGCAAGGTCCAAAATTTGTTTGGCCAAGGGGTATTGACCTTTAACGTGTCATGAGACATTCTAGAACAAATCATGAAAAAGTTCTTCAATCCACTGTGAAACCATATTGCATTGGCATTATCATGTTTGAACGTGTTTTTGTTCTTTCTTTGTGTACTTAATAAATATTTTGTTGATTGAACTTATGTTGTTTTCCAAGGTTATGAATAGTAAATAAAGTTTTAATCTCGTAATTCTTTGAATATCGAATGAATTAAAGATTCTTTTACTACTCCATTAATTATATACTTTTTACAAGTGGCAAGATTAGACCTTCCATACCCCATCCAAAGCCCAAAAATCATTGTTTGGTTCCTTACCCAAAATAATAGAGACCGAAACTTGACATCACTTCCCTTTGAAACAATAAAGTCATGCCCTTATCCTTCACAAGGCACCAAAATCCGTACTTTTACCTTCCCAAACAGAGTTGATCCCTCTTTAACACTATATTTTCCAAGATAGATGGCTTCAGATTCACTTATTTCCCTTTCTAGACAAAAAAAACAACATTCATTTCTCAACCTCAATAAAGCCTGGAGGCATAAAGTATAAGATGGTCATGTGTACGAGATCCATTCTTGCAAGAAAGACAAGATGAAGTATTACGAATTAAGTTTATGCAACATAATTTGAATAATTGTGGCATACTAAGAGCAAAGTGAAGTAGAAATAAAGTGAATCATTGAAATAATTCTATCATGCATTAATTACATTATTTTCATTGTAAATGAGGTTAATACTAAATACTCGTCCCCCTAGGATACCTCTTCTACAAGGACTTTTGTGTATGAGATGATGAACGACTTTGTTTCATTTATCCTTTATATATATATATATATATATATATATATATATATGTTATCCCCATTTCAGCCTATAGTAGTTTTCTTCTGATTCAACCCTAACCAAGGATCACCCTCCACACCGGGGGCAAGGTGAAGGAAATGCTTGCAAGAATGAAAGTCATCAATCCAGATTTCGTTACAGAGGCAAGTCATGATGAGAAATAACAAGATGCCGCAAGGTGGATCAAATACGAAGTGCTCAAAGATAAAACAAAGTTGATGACACATAGGAAAAATAGAAGATATAATAAAAAGAAATAATAAAAAAGAAAAGAAAAAAAGAAGACAAATAAAAGAAAAGAAAGAAAGAAGAGAGAGAAAAGAAATCAAAAAGAAAAAGAAGAAAGAAAACATATCAAACACTTTAAGACGAGTGGTTCAAAGAGATAGAATCAATTCACCTGAAGATTATGGAAAACCAAAGGAAAATGAAAGAAAATAAAAGACACACAAGCATATTCAAATCGTGCAAGACAAGATTGAAGACATCAGAACGAATTGATCATTGGTTCGATAACCCTTAAACATTTGTTTAGGCCTATTTATCCTTTTCTTCATAACCGTGAGCCCTATCCTACGTTATGCCAGAAAAGTCCTTCTAATCATACATGGATTTCTAAGTGGATAGACTATTTTCAGATTTCATTTCGCCTCTCAAGGTTAATTTTATCTGTAAAAAATAATTTTCTAAAATCTTTAATGCATGATAGGGTAAAATAATAAATAGAGGGTTCAGTACATAAAATTTTAGACGACGTCTTGAAACCAAAGGATAATTCGAGTTGAAAACCTGAAAAGGCTGCTCGAATATGAAGATTTTCAACCACTGCAAGAAGACGATCTTATACATCTTGATAAAGCACTACACAACCCAAAGGTGCTCACGAGGGCTAGGAACCAATGCACATTTCCAAAAGATAAGAATAATGGCTACTGCATCAAATCAATGAACACCAGAATCAAGGATGCAAGATTTCCACCAAAGAAGCCAACCTGAAACATATTACTTTTGCAAATTAGCCTGAAACACATTACTTCCCAAGGCAACCTAACCCTTATATCAACATTAATCTTACACTTTTCAAATGTATATAATTTTTGAAGGATTAAAAGAAAAGTTGATTTATTTG